AGATTAGAGTCAGGGGATGGGTGGGGCGGTGAATCAGTACATTCCTCCTCTTGCCCCCGCCCCTTCTCCTCCTCCGTTATCACTCTTGAGAGGGTTGGGCAGTCTCACGGCCTTCTCCTGACCGATCCATTGGCAGGGGCCAGACGAGCTCAATAGTGGTAGGCGGGAACCTCCCATGCTCATCTGAACTTTGTAAAGCCCGGATCATTTATTTTGCAGTTTATGACCCCATTTGGTTTTAGTTGTTACTTCCAACTGAGGTGTTTTTTTGTTTTTTTTTTTTTTGGCACTGGGGATTAAACCCAGGGAACTTCACCACTGAGCTCCAGCCCCTTTGTCAAAATTTTACTTTGAGGCTGGGCACCGTGGTGCATGCCTGTAATCCCAGCGATTTGAGAGGCTGAGGCAGGAGGATTGCAATTCGAAGCCAGCCTTAGCAATGTAGTGAGGCCTTAAACAATTTAGCAACATCCTGTTTCAAAATTAAAATTAAAAAGGGCTGGGGACTTAGCTCAGTGGTAAAGCTCCCTGGATCAATCCCCAGTACAAAATTTTTTGAGACAASGTTTTGCCAAGTTGCTGAGGCTGGCCTCAAATTTGCTAAATTCCTGCCTCAACCTTCTGAGTCCCTGAAATTACAGACCTGCACCAGCCTCTGGGCCCAACTGAGTCCTTTTCATAAGAGTACTTCATAAGTGTCAGTRTATTTCTTAGTAGCTCTGGCTTATTGAGCAGTCCCTATGAGGCAGGGTCTATTGCTTTTCTCTTCCTAAATTTTTTTTTTTTTTTTTTAGCATTAGAGGCAAGGAATCAGAAGGCCCAATGAGGATAGGTAAATTCCTCAAGGTCACCAAGTGGCAGAGCCAGAAATAACCCCAGCTCTGTTGGTTGCATACATTTCCCACCACACCCTGTCATTTCCTTTACTTAGGTCATTGAAAGGCAAGACTTGTTTGTTAGGGGGTAGGAAAGTAACTTTTATGGACCACCTTCCACTGTGCCAGCTACTCTAAATATACTTTTTTTTGGGGGGGAGGATACTGGGATTGAACTCAGGCACATTACTACTGAATTACCTCCCCATTTGGTTTCTCTAAGTTGTTGAATCTGGTCTCAAACTTGAGATGAGGCTAACCTCCAACTTTTGATTCCCCTGGCTCACCCTCCAGAGTTGCTAGGATTACAGGCTGTACAAATGCCTGGACCACACCCATATTTCTTTTCATTCTCCTTAACCCCCCCCCCCCCCCCGCCGTATTGGGGATTGAACCCAGGGTCTTCTACCATTGAGCCACATTCCCAGCTCCCCTTTTAAGATCAGTCTGTCTATATATCTAGTTATGATTTTATTTATTTATTTTGCAGTGCTGAGGATCAAACTCAGGGCCTCATGCATGCCAGGCAAATGCTCTACCACTGAGTCACATCCCCAGCCCCTATTTCTTTGGACAGGGTCTCACTAATTTGTGAGGCTGGCTTGAACTTGCAATCTTCCTGCTTCAGCTGCTGGAGTATCTGGGATTACGGGCATGTACCAGCATGCCTGGCAATCTCTAATGTCTTTACAGTGCTTGTCAGTTTACAAAGAACTTTCAAGCTCATCATTTCAGAGCTATCATCCCATATGATAGAGGAGGACAGAGTTTTTTTCTTGAAGACCTCTGTCCACCGTCACAAACCTAATAGTAAGTAGCAGAGTCTATAGCTTTATATTTATTTATTTTTATATATGAGGTCTTGAAGTCCTGGGTTCAAGTGATCCTCCCGCCTCAGCTTCATGAATAGCTGGAAATATAAGTACATGCCACTATGTGTAGGCTAGAGCCTGTTTTATTTTATTATTATTATTTTATTTTTTGGGTACCGGAGATTGAACTCAGGGTACTTGGCCACTGAGCCACATCCCCAGCCCTATTTTGTATTTTATTTATAGACGGTCTCACTGAATTGCTTAGGGCCTTGCTAAATTGCTGAGGCTGGCTTTGAACTTGCAATCCTCCTGTCTCAGCCTCCCAAGCTGCTGGGATTACAGGCCTGTAATTTTAAAATGAACTCAACAGAACCAGTGATATCAAAGCTAATTCCATTTATTCATTCTACAGTACTGAGTACCATTCTAATAGTTTTTTTTTTTTTTAAAGAGAGAGTGAGAGAGGAGAGAGAGAGAGAGAGAATTTTTAATATTTATTTTTTAGTTCTCGGCGGACACAACATCTTTGTTGGTATGTGGTGCTGAGGATCGAACCCGGGCCGCACACATGCCAGGCGAGCRCGCTACCGCTTGAGCCACATCCCCAGCCCCCCATTCTAATAGTTTTAATATTTAGCTAATATTTATTAAACACTTAACATGTGTCCATCACAGTGTTCCATGAATATGTACACTAACTCCTTCAGTTTTCAAAAACACATTTTATGAGATGGTGTTACCTTTTCCATTTTATAAATGGGGAAATTGAGACTCAGAGATATGAAGTACCTTTCCAAGGGTACATAGCAACTACATGGCAATGCAAGAATGCCAGATAAAACAGCATGGAGGCCCATCATGGGAACTAGGCACCTGGGTTGTGTTTGAACATCAGGGCTTGCGTTTCTTTGCCATATCATCATTACTCTTTCTCCAACCCATGTGTGTGGCAGGCCCACACAGCTCCTGCTCTCAAGGAGCTAACACTCTATAAAATCAGCCAAGAATGCTGCCAGTTTTGCCTCACAGGGACACTGGGAGGATTAATAAGCAAATGGCACTTGGAATGCTTCCACAAAAGTCCTGGATAAACTCAGGGCACTTATGTATGAAATTCACTGCCAACGGTGGATCATGATTTAATAAGGTGCCTGCAGCCCAGTTCCTGATTTGTTTGAGGTATAGAGGAAGTAAAGCCAATTACAGCCTTCTTTGGGAAACCATTTGTATGTCAGAAGCTAGGGCATCTCTCTGCTGGCCTGAGGATAAGGGAAAGTGGTAGTGTCACTGTGGTCAAAGGCCTTTCATTCTTAGAGATGTCTTTCCAACATCCCAGAAAGGTTTCCAGCTTACTCTGAGGAACACTGATAATTGACACAAGTCATGAATTAACATCATGATTATTCAGGCTCCACAGGCAGACAAACCTGGGCTGAATCTTGCTTCTGTTATTTCATGTCTCTGAGCTTCCATTCCCTTTTAAAATGGCATAATAATATCTTACTCATAGGGTTATTTTGAAGCATAAACTTGATAATATATTTAAAAACACCTTGCTCAGGGCTTGGAATAGAGTGAATGCTTAATAAATGGCCATTATCATAGCCATTATTGTTATCCTTATGWTGTTATAGTATTTACTGATATTTTAGGGCTGGGCTAAGAGCCAGATGGAGGGAAGATTCATTCATTTGTTCTACAATCTAGTAGGTTGCCCTAAGTAGATGAGTTTAAGCAGGGGAAAATCATGAAAATAGGCATTTACAATATAGTATTATAAGTGGTATGGCCAGGATTGCATAAGGTGTTTTGAGACTTTAAGAATCACTAAGAAGGAGATGCAGCAAGTTTTGGAGAGAAGGTGGTTCTCCATTTCCAATTTGATTCTAGGAAGTGGAAAAGACTACCTGCTGGAGGCAGGTAGAATGCACTAGCTGAGCCTGTGCTTCTTCACCAGAGATCCTTGTTTCTGATCTGTAGTCCCTCTTGCTCCTCAAGGCCTTTCAACTCCCACACAGCCCAACCGGCCAGAATACCCACTCCTGGGCCACCTGCTGGTGGTAAACATTCCAAGTTCTGATGCCGCTGAGTCATAAGGCCCTTCTTTTTAGCGCTAAGCTTTAATGGAAGCCTTCTGGTCAGGAGCAATGCCATAGGTCCACCTCGTGAAGAACTAATGATGACTGACCACTGCTTTTCCCCTTAGGGCAGGATGAACATGTGTGTGGTAGTAAGGTGGGAGAGAAGACAGCCCAAGGGACAACTTCACTTCCTTCTAGAAAGGTGCTAGTTCTGGGCAACTGGGATTTCCAGGGTGGACAGAACTCCCCCGCCCCCAACTCTCCTGGCGGAGCCTCCCCTCTTCCTCCCAAGCCACCCTCCAAGGCCTTTCCTAGCTGCCATCTGGCAGTGGCCCGAACCAGTCTCTCAACTCAATGGTGACCACATTTTCCAAACCAAAACTCAGGACGCATGATTTGGCAAAGAATTTCTGGCCAGCTTCCAAGGCAAAAGGATAAAACCTTTCCACTGGAGAATCTCTAGAATAATCTACGTCATTAAATGAGACATTAGTTAGGTTGGAAACCTCGAAATGCAGGGTCTTTCTTCAATCAGGCACTTTTCATATATTATTGTTACGTGAAGAGCCCAATGAAGTGGCTTATTTCCATTTAGTAGTGGAGAATACTTAGGAAATCACTTGGCCAAGCTCTTTCATCCTACAATCTGAATTTTGGTCAAGGAGAATTCTTACTTCTGTGCTTATGATCTTGCTGGAGAAGGTGGGGGTTGGGGAGCAGCGCAGAACTATCCTGCGGGAAGATGCGCAAGCCTTTTGAGGCCTCCAGGAAGGGCAGCCAAGAACTCAGCTGCCCCGTTCTCACTTCTGAGTTGGAAATCCCCGAGCACAAGACTCGGTTGCCGCCCCGTCCCATCAACATCTGGCTCCGGGATGAGCGGCCCGGGAGCGGGAATCAGCACTACGACCTTGGGGTCACCCGGCAGTCCTGGGTCCTTGACCCAGCCCAGGTGCGGATGGGCGGGCCGCAGCCTGGGCTGGCGGACTCTCTGGGTCACGCTTGCCCCCCCTCCCCGGTCACATGGACGCGCCTTCCGTCGCCAGGAGTGCGGAGCGGAACGAACCACGAGGAGGAGGAGCGGGGGAGGCGCTCAGGGCAGTGGGTCAGCGCCCCGTGGGGCAGGTGGGCGGGCCCAACTGCCTGCGAGCCAGCCGCCAGCCAGTCAGTGGCTCGGAGGGCGGGCCGGCGGCCGCGCGCGCCGCGCCCCGCAGCGCCCCCTGAGGGGCGGCGGCGGGAGCTGGTTCCGGCTGCGCGCGCAGCGGTGGTGGCGGCGGCGCGATCGGCYGGGCTGTAACCGTCGTCCGTCCGGGAGCGGCTAGAGCGGCAGCGGCGGTCGGGCACGGCTCGAGGCAACACCACAGGGCAGCGGCGGCAGCGGCGGCAGCAGGAGACGCAGCGGCGGCCGCAGCAGCAGCAGCAAGACGGACTCGTGGACACGCGCCGCCGCCGCCGCCGGGCCGGGCCGGGTGTCGCGCGCCGAGGCTGGGGGGGAGTCGTCGCCGCCGCCGCCACCGCTACCGCCGCCGCCGCCGCCGCCGAGGTGACTGAGGAGAGAGGCGCCTCCTCGCTCCCGCCGCCGCCGGACTTCAATGCCCAGTCCCCAGCTCGCCAGCGTGAGTGCGCCCCTCCCGGGCGGCCCCGCGTCGGGGCCTCGGGGAAGGGGAGGGCGGGAGGCGCCGCTGCCATTAGTGCAGGCCCGAGACACGTCCCCGGAAGGAGGGCCGGCCCGGGGGCGGGGAGCGCGGCCGGCAGCGTGGAGCGCGAGGGTGGGTGAGCGAGCGGGATCGTGTGTGTGGAAGAATGTGGGGCGTGTGTGCGCCCGGGGGGGAGCGCGTGTGTAGGGCGAGAGTGTGAGTGTCCTTGTGGGAGCGCCGGGAGGGGAGAGTGGGTGGGGGGAGAAAGTACTGGGTGAGTGAGCGTGGGGGAGAGCGTAGGGAGGCAGTGACGGAGCGAGGGGAGCGTGTGGGCACACGGGGGAGACTGGGGRCAGAGGCGGTGTAGGGGAGAAGGTGAGTAGCAGATGGGGGAGTGTGTAAGGGTGTGCCTGCATTTGTCCACCGTGTGAGCAGGCATCCCGGACGCCCTTCCCCTTGGTCTTTGTGTGAGGTGGTGGTGAACCCTGGTGTCTTGGGTAAGCGAGTTCCCTCCAGTAGCTTCTTGTCCCTGGGTCTTTTGCGTTCAAGTAAAGAGGACAAGGTTGGAGGCTTCTCCCAGTGACAGTTTTTTTTCTTCTTCTTAGAATGTGGCCTTTTATTTCTATAATTTTTTTTGTCCATGTTTAGTGATATTGACACACATTTCTGGATTTGCAAGGATGTGGTTGCCATCCGGTCTTAGTCTGGGGGCTCAGACGTAACCAACATACTTGACTCTTGCCCTAAAGCCTGCACTCTTGCCTGTATTCAGAAGCATGAACTTTTTTTTTTGTAAAGTTTGCTAATTTTTTCAGGTGAAAGGAATTTTATTGGTAGGTAAATTGAAACAGTATCTTTCGTGTTGTAACTCCTGTTCTTCTGGAGAAAAGTTCCTAAGAAATGACAATAGTATAACATTGATGAAGAGGAAACATAGGTTAATTTATTGTTTCCTGGAAGTTGTCAAGATACTTAAAGTGACTAGTTCTAGAATCCCTGTAAACATTCAGCAAAATGCTTGTCAATTTGGAGTCACCAGCCCTCAACCGCTACTGGATTAGTACTTGGCACTTGTTGCCATGTTATATGTATTACAGAGTAATTTCCGGCAGGAAGTGAATGAAGTTATGCCTTGTAAAGTGTGCACAAGGAAAGGAAGGACACAGAAGGACATATTATCAGGTTTCAGAATCACTTGCTGACATACCACTGGATTGGTGAAGATGCTAAGTTGTTTGCCAAGATTCTGATCTTGACTTTATTTATTTTTTGGGGTTGGGGGTACCTGGCATTGAACTCAGGGGCACTCAACCACTGAGCCACATCCCCAGTCCTATTTTGTATTTTTTTTTTTTTTAGAGATAGGGCCTTACTGAGTTGCTTAGGGCCTCACTTTTGCCCGTGCTGTCTTTGAGCTTCTGTCTTAGCATCCTGAGCTGCTAGGATTACAGGTGGCGAGTGTGCCTGTCTTGATTTTTGAAGTTGCATACTGAATAAACTAATGATTGTGGTGGACTTCCTCCCAATCTGGTGTTGTAGAAATAGGGACCCCCCCCCCTTTGCTGGGGATTGAATCCATGGGTGCTTTACCCTGTCCTTTTAAATTTTTTTTTTTTAATTTTGATTTATGGTCTTGCTAAGTTGCTGAGGCTGACTTTGAACCTGAGATCTTCCTGCCTCAGTGAGGACTGGGTTTTCAGGATGTACTACTACCACAACAGGCAAATTTAGAGATTCTTTTTAAAAATATATATTTATTTTTTAGTTGTAGTTAGACACAGTACCCCCATTTCATTTATTTATATGTGGTGCTGAGGATTGAACCTAGGCCTCTGCACGTGCCAGGCAAGTACTCCACTGCTGAGCCACAATGCCAGCCCCAAATATAAGGATTCCTAATGAAGAGTGCCTTGATAGGGATTTCATATCTTAATACAATCTTAGAAGATTATGTTATTTTTTGAATTTGGGAGTCTTTCAGTATGACAAGCAAAGAGTAAAGTTGTTCTTTTGACAATAGACAGAATTAGAAGCAAAACCACTGGTATATAATTAGGTATAAATTTCATTATTGTGTTCTTTTTCTCAGTCACTAGTATTCTCTGCTTTCAGAAATAGTATTGTCACTGTTCAGGGATTAATTAATATTAAGTGCCTACTATGCTACAGGTGTTTTTTATGTGCTCTGATTTAATTCTCACAACCACAATAAAGGAGTTAGTTAACCTTCATTTGCATTGATTTGACATATTTTGAGTTGCTTCTGTTTGCCAAGCACTAGGAATTTGGTGATGAGGTCCCATGGATTTATAGTGATGAGATAAAGAGAAACAGAGAATCAAAAGGTTGAGTAATTTGTCCCAGGTCACACAGATAATACATATGGAAGCTGGATTAAAAATTGGGGTATTTTTGATTCAAAAGTCCTGATATTTCTCTGTACCATACTTCCCTCTCAATAGATGGTCTCACTTTGAGATTTCTTATCCACATAGTGACCTAGCAGCTTGTACAGATGAGATCTATAGAAGTTAATGGAGAAGGCTGAATAGCTGGAGGCACAGCAGTGGTTTTGGGAGATGCTGACTTCAGGCTCTTAGAGGCCTAAACTAGGCTTTTATGTGGGAGGCAGATTTGCCTTGAAACTCTTGGGGCCCCAGGGTGTGTGCTTTGAGACAGTTTTTATGAGGCACCTGGGATATGTCTGGGAGAGAGAAGTGTGATTAAAGAAATGCAGCAGCCTTTTATGTTTTTTTTTTTTTTTTTGCGGGGGAGGGGTAGGGGAGGAGGGTATTGGGGCTAACAGTCAACTGGAAGTTGCCACTTTGTTTCTCTGTTGAGATGTGTGTAGTACTTAAATTAGGAGATTGTAAAGATCTTGTGAGAAAATTCATGTGAAAGCACTTTGTTAGTTATAAATTAAATTACAGATGTTAAATATTACCACTAAGACTTTATGAAGGCAAAAATTTAACTGTCACATTTAGAGCTAGAAAAAGCTGGCTTTTTAGAACACCTTTACAAATGAAAAATAGTTTAGAACTGCTGAACCTGGTATTTTCTGACTCAGAACAGGGAGTCAGACCACTCCTTCTGTGATTCAGGCAAGTAATATTTAATGTGAATGAACCAAGTTTATAGGCAGAAACGGTTTACAAAATCACTGAACTTTGATGGCAGTAGGGAAGAGTATGTTTGAATGCTTTTGCTTATAACATTTTTAGAAAGTCAGAAAGTCCTCTGTAGTGTATGTATGTACACACACACACACAAACACACACACACACACATAATTTACTTGAAAAAAAGTTGTGAACAAGATAGTCATGTTCTACCACTGAACAATATCCCTGAGCTCCTTTCTTGAACTTTTTCTTCATTTTTCCTTTAAAGGTAGTATTTCCTTATGTAGTAATTATAGGCCACTTTATAATTTTGAGACAGAAAGTTGAAATTCAGTAGGGATTTAGTTTGCAGAGTTTGTACTTGTTCCTTTTTGTTGGAATGTGAGTTGGTAATCAATGAATACTCTAGAATAAGCATTCACAAATAAGATTTAGAGGAACAGTACATAAGTTTTCAGCTGTTGCTCTTGGAAGAGTGAAACTTGTTAAAGTAAAACCTAAGGGTTTTTCTTTTTGTTTATTTGTTTGTTTTCCTTTCAGGTTATAGAGCTTGTTGAATAGGATTGGGATGTTTAAAAATTTTGAATAACTGGAAATCAGAGTCCATAGTTTTAAAATGGTGTAGTTTAAGTTATGTTTAATGAACAGGGTAGTGGTGGAGATCTAGTGGCCTTGGGATACTTGTAAAGTCCAAAAGGGTATTTGTAAGTAGATGATAGTGGGTAAAAATATTTTTTTTCCTCTTGAAGCTTAAAGTATTTAAATTGCTGTAGAGAACCATGGATGCCACCTATTACAATTGTTTTGAGAAATGGTGACTTGAATATGTTAATCTGGAATACTAGAGTCTTTTCTTCATTTTCAGCCTCAGAACTATTATGTATAGAAATGTTTGGTAGCTTCCTCCAATTATTTGTTTTATCCATTGAAACACATTCTCTAGTTCATTTGACTTCCTAGTTACTCTCTTGGGACTTGATGCCTTATAGGATTGCTTGGTGTAGAGCTGAAGTGGATGTTATATGTAAATCTTTTGTTTCTTGGAGTTATAGAACTCTAGGCTGAACCAGAAAATGTCATCACCCTAACACTTTCATGAAAGAAACTGTACACAATTCTCTAGGCTGTCTACTTTCCACAGGTCCCCATGGTGAAGTTATCAGGATGCAGGTGAGAAAATAAGCCTTCTGTATGTCCTAAGTTAGTTTTCCCTGCACTGAAATTGACAGATAATACACACACACAGCACACATGCACTGTGTGTGTGCGCGCGTGTGCACAGGCGCGCATGCTCTCATGCATAATGAGGAGGGATAGGGATTGAACCTAGAGGCTTACCTCTGAGCTATATCCCCAGTCCTTTTTTCTTTTGGTACCAGGGATTGAACCCAGAGATGCTTAACCACTGAGTCCTTTTTTGTATTTTATTTAGAGACACGGGGGGGGGGGGTCTCACTGAGTTGTTTAGAGCCTTGCTAAGTTGCTGAGGCTGGCTTTGAACTTGTGATCCTCCTGCCTCAGCTTCTCGAGCCACTGGGATAACAGGTGTGTGCGGACTACCTGGGCCCAGTTCTTTTTGTAATTTTTATTTTGAGATAGAGTCTCACTAAATTGCAGAGGCTGACCTGAAACCAGGAATCCTCCTGCCTCATCCTCTTGAGTCACTGGGATTATAGATGTGCACCACTGTGTCTAGTTGCCTATATTTTTATTCAACTTGAATACATGTATTTTTTGTTTATATGTACCAGTTTTCTCATTGATAGGTTCTGTTAACAGCATCAACTCCTATTTAAGTGGCCTGAGAACTAAATTTCATTATTTGAATATAAATTTATATTGTACTGTGTTGGC